TAATCGTTAATAATGTCCAAACTAGAGCTTAGAAAAGGAGGTCATTTAGTGTGTGATACAGATTTAATTTGCTGGCGAGCACAGGTGAAGGGCTACCAAAGGAAGTTGGGGGAAGAAGAGAAGAATTAGTGCAACTTTCTCACCACTCAGTCACGGTGGGAAAACCAGGGAAACTCCCCATCCCCAGCTACCTCTCTTGACTTTTCCTCACCCAACACACCTCATGCTAGGCTGCTTCTGGCTACTGTTGTAGCTACTCTGCTAAAATACTGCCAAACACTGGCAGCAGCACCACTGTGGATGCCAGGAAGGTCCCTGCTAATCAGTGCAGGGCCCTGCAGGGAAGGGGGTTTCTTGGCTGCCCAATACTGAATTTCTGAGGGAATGCTCAGGCAGGAGCTCCGAACCAAGGTTTCACAGCAAAATGCAAATGTACCTGCGAAAATTGTGTTGCTCTCCTCTTAAACAACTAGGAGTCACCGAGATATTTGGGGGGCTGGTGTGAAGCTCTTATAAAGTCCCATAAGCAAGTCATCTTCTCTGAAGTGTTAATCTTGTAGTTGAGTCTGCTCTATCGCAGCCTCATGGATTTGGGTGATACTTCTCCTGTCCCGGGTTTAATTTCTCAGTCTGTCAATGAAATCCTCCCGTTCTGGGGCTGCATCTTTCCCCGAGTGCAGCCCGGAGAAGCTCAGGGCCACATTTGCAGTGAGCTGATGCCCTCTGCTGGGTACCAAGAACTTGGAAAATGTAAAATCCCCTCTTTCAGAGCAGGATACCGGGTTTTGAACACAACTCCTGCAAAGAGTGAACTGCATAGTTTAATTGCAACCGTTCGCACCTCCCCACAATGATTTTTAATATGTGTTTGGAAACTAGATTTGGAATCTAATTTCAGTGACTGAATAACAGAAATAGTTCTGGTTATGGCTTCCACATTGCTGAATATTAGACCCAACTTGTAATTAAAGATCTTCAAATATAATAATTTTAATAAACTGTTCCTCTAGTAATAATATGATTTAAAAGCACGTATAACTTGGAGAGAAGTGTTTTGCCTGTTTAAATAAGTTGTCACTAGTATGATATTAACTGGTTAGAAGTCAATATAAAGGTGAATAAAAATTTCAGAATGTTTGCTAAACTTAAAAATATTGGGGAAAAATATCTGGACCGTGAGGGACAAGCTACTGCATGTCAGTACATCCCATATTCCACTGCGAGATCAGTTGAAAAATGCCAAAACTGCATTTACTGAGACATAAATATGACAAAAAAATGTAACTCTAACCTTAGGGGAAAACAAAATTAAAACTGGAAATTGTTTATGCTTTTTCGTGAGACTGAGAACTCCAAGGCCTTAATGCTGATCCCAGCAAGCTGGAATGTTTCTGCCACTCAAGAAGTGACAGAACACCTCTGTGTAGTATTGTCACTATGGGGTTTCAGTGAGAGCTTTTGTGCAGTTGTCTGTTGGCCCATTGTGGCTAATATGGGTAATGCCTACAAGAAAAGGCTAAAAAGAACATAAAAACAGGTCTAAAATAAGTAAAAAATTATTTGGTCACCTTAATAGTTTTCTTCTTTTCTCATAGAAGCTTCAATTCTGACTCCTGGATTTATAAAATCATATTTTTTTTGTGTAGGTCTGTCCACTTTTTGCTGTTTCTTATGTCTTGAATAGTCAGCCAAAAGATCAAAAAGTTAGGAGCTGCCTTATGTTAGTTAGTAAACTTATGATTTTAATTAATTAAAAGACAAAGCACAAATTTGGTTAAGGTTATAATGTATCTCCCAAAGATAAATGCCTTTTTGTAGCATAATGCTGAAAATGTTAATATAAACCCTCTCTGAGTTAATTACTTGGCTGTACTATATTGTTGAGTATTAAACAAAAATAATCCCAGGGGTTATTTAATTGGTTTTAGACTTTCAGCTCCACAAAAGGGCACATCCTGTCTTGGGTATGACCACAGGGTTGTGTGGTAGCACAAGATCCACAGAAGAACCCTTGCTGACTTTAGAAGAGGTAAATTTGGCTATTTTCTAAACTTGATGTGAAATTTGCTCTGTGTGAGAAAGAAACCAAAACAATCCTTAACACTGAACTCACAAGATCACAATTCTGGAGCTTCTGTTCAATAAACTCAAATTGACCCACGGGATATGTATTATTCACAAACCAGAGGCTTTCACTGTCATTGATTTTTGCCTTTTAAATATGTAAACTTTGTCTAGGCAACCATTTTTGCAGTCAATACCAAAAGGAAAGTTCTAACACGGCCACTGAGGTGTACCTGCAGTTGGCTTTTCTCTTCACTGCATGCAGAGTTTAAAGTGGTCATGAGGCCTGAATTATTGGATGGCATGGAAATCAGTTGTTTAACAGGCTTAGTTGCAGAGTAATTCTGAAAGATGGGGAAGTACACATGCTACTGGGAGCCATGTGCAATCACTTTAGATGATAATAGCTTGTGTGGTGTTTATAAAAATATAGAGAAAAAAAACCTGAAGAAATTCACAGCTGTAAGCATTTTAAAATCTAGCATGATGGCAAAGCTTGACTTGCAACAATGTCTTTTAACAGAAAAATAGATGAGGGGCACGTGGAACTGTATAAAACCACACTACTGAACTTAATTACACACTACAGCCTAGGCATGATAGAGAAATGCAGCTAAATGGAAATGCCCTAAATATGTTAGGAAGGTAAGTGAACAGCCCAAACCAAAAAGTTGGGCTTTTTACTAGGAAAAAAAACCCCTATGTGTCCTGTAGCCACGATAATAATCAACAGTACCCAGTACTTGACCCAGGTTTTTAGTCAAACAACAGTCCTATGCATTTTGTTAGGAAACAAGCTGAGTGATTTATTTGGGAAAATATTCGTTGCTATTGCACCTGTAAAACGAGGGACTGGATATACCAACTTTGCAGAGACTCAGTGGGGCTGGAGAAACATAGTTCTAATAACAGGATCACAGAATCACAGAATATGCTGAGTTGGAAGGGACCCACAAGGATCATCAAGTCCAACTCTTGGCCCTGCACAGCACCATCCTCAAGAGTCTGAGAGTGTTGTCCAAACACTTCTTGAACTCTTGTCAGGTTTGGTGCTGTGATCACTGCCCTGGGGAGCCTGTTCCAGTGCCCAACCACCCTCTGGGGGAAGAACCTTTTCCTAATATCCAATCTAAACCTCCCCTGATGCTCTAGGCAACTTAAGTTACTGGTAATTCCTGAATCCAAAATCTAGCTGTGGACTTTAAGTGTTAAGTTATATTCATCACATACTTGGAAAGCTGTTAAGTTCATTAAGAATGGGTGCTGCTGACTCTGGTCTAATTAAAAATAATAATAAATACACATAAGTGACAAGACTGGACCAGTTTTTACCCTCCCACATTCAGGGAGGTTATTTATTTATACTTTCACCTATTTCAAAAAGTTGCTTGAGAGATGAAGCAGTTCCAAACATGGGTCAAGTGCACAAGATGAATTGCTGTGTCAGGATAACCATGCTCTGTACTCAACAAAGTAAAATGTATTAAATGCCACTGGCATGTAAGGGAAACCATGGCTATTAGTCAGTTGTGGTGCTGCCATCTAGAAAAGTGTGGTGTGTGGCCCTCCCTAAAACTCCCATCATGTTTCTTGTGATAAATGTGGCTGGAATACAGGGCCAAGGAGACATCCATTGGAATAACAGCCAATACTCAGACCAAACAAAAAGGAAGTCTGTTTATTTTTATAACAGATTTAATAAAAATGTAGTATAAGCTGGTGCTTATACTCTGTTAGGACCAGCAGATGTCAGTACAACTCAAAGCAACTTTGGATTTTGGTGATGCAATGTTCATGACACTTACCAGAGAAGAAAATATGCTGAAGAAATAGAGAGATTATACAACTTCACAAAGTAAGTCTTTAGAAATCAACAGCTAACAGTATTCTTGAATAAATGTGACAAATAAAACATGCAGATCTTCCAAGTCTAGCACAGAAATAGGAAATTCATTCAAAATGCAACAAAAATAGCAAGAATAACAATATTACTAAGATTTCACTTGTAAAATCTCTTTTCCATAAACCTTGTTATATCATAAGAGGTTAATACTCTGAGGACAGATAATGTATCAACTAAAGATAATTTCAATTCGACTGTGGGTTTTTTTGTAACAGTCTAGATATCCTTGGTGTGGGAACAGAAATTTATTTCAGCTGCATATAAACCTTCACCTTAAAAACAAGTAAAAAGAGGAAAAGAAAGGGTAGAGGGCTGTTGGACTATTAGTTCAGTCCAATTACAGAGTGATAACAAACAGAGCAAAATTATTTTCATTGTGTTATACAGAAACCAAGAAAATAATAACTTTTGTGCCATAATTAATACTTTAATATATTTTACAATGCCTTGGCAGTTTAATTTCAGTATTTTAACAGTGAGGCTTGAATTAATAAGGACAACTTGATCTCAAATCCCAGTAGCCTGCATGAGATCTGAACACTTAAATGCTTTTGAATCCTTTCCAAGTGGACAGGATTGGATTAATCAGATTAATCAGATACTCTATAGTAAAGATGCAGCATTCACTATTAATACTGGAGAGAGCTTTATTAATACTGCATGTAAATTAATTGAGAAATTTCAGTATTTCACATAAAACAGATAAAACCCATGAGATCCTGATCTGGAGAAGGAAAAAATGAGGGACACATGGAGATGGTACATTTCATGAAACAACAGTGAGGGGCTCAGGGTAGATCACATTAAGATTTAGCACCTTGTGTTTAAATACAGTGATTGTTCAGTAGAATCCTACCTGGATGACTAAAAAGCCCGAATGCAATGCACAATTATCTCCATAATCACATGGAAAATGATTGTGAAAGTGAGCACATTAATCTCGCGGATTGTCACAAATTCCAACGGCTTTCATTAAATTACCAAATGATGAATGTGCCGTGTTTAACCAAAGCATGGAATAACATACTCAGGATTAAATAATGCACACGTGCACTAACCAACATGCTTATTTCTGATTATTTCCCCTCCTTCTATCTCAATCTGCTCGTAGAGCCACTTGCGGTCACAGCGACATTCCGCCCCACACTTGTTGGAGCCGCACTTGGGACAAGTATAGAAACATCCCAGGCAATCTTCGTCCAGGCAGTCACAGAGGTCCATCCCACTGTAAAGCAGCAGCCCCTGGCTGTCGTAGACTTTGCTCTTGGCTGGTATAACTTGCCTGGATAACGAAAAACAACAGTTATTTCCGTGTCAAAATCCACTTATTTTGAGGCCAAGCTGCTAAATTTGTGGAGGGGAGTTTGCTTTGTTCAGGTGTTCGTTTCGGCGCTGTTAATTTAAAAGACGTACCTACCCTACTGTATTTGACAACATTTCTCAGCCCTAATTGTATTCCCACTGTGTGCCCAAGCTAAGCAGAAGCAGCAAATGGAGAGGAAAACGATGTGCAGTTGGTGAGCAGCACATCCAGTGTCTGTCTTGTGAGTTTAAACTTGGGTGGAGAACAGGGGCAAGGCATTGATGTGATAATTACTGCATGCTTTAACAAATATTGTACGACTATTTAAAGTTGAAACTTCTACCATTCTTCTGTTAGTACAAGACTGGTCCAAAGTTTTAGTGGAAAATAACAAAGTTCAACTTTCCTCTTTAGAAAAATGTGATTTTTTTTTTTTAAATCAATCACATTAGAAGGTTATAACTTAATCTAGTTAGCATCCAACATGGATGCTAACTTTGTTCTTTAAAAGGAAGGCAAGGTCCTAACCTGCACACTTTTGTTTACCAAGTGTAGTTACTGAGCTTACTGAAAGATAACTCCAATATTTTAAGTGTAGTCTAACATATTCAAATTTAGCCTATCATCAGAATTTTAGCTTATGCATAAATGAATAGCTACATCTATGATCTGTGTAGTATTGTCATGCCTCACAAACACTTGTTTATATTCTAATTGCCTGAAATATTGCTTGCATGCCAACCTTTTATCTTCTGGTTTGTTTATCTCAAGAATGAGAGTGAGCTTTAGCAACCCATAAACACACAAAGACCCACAAAGATAATGCTGAATGCTACAGAGACACTGACCATAGAGGATACTTTATTCTGAAATGAAAGATAATGTAAATACAGCAAACAGATTACCTGTCTGAATTGAATGCTGCAATTTTTGATTGCAGCCTTCTTTTTTCCCTCTTACTGGTCTCAGGAGTGAACTCAGTCTGTCGCCCTGGATTAGCAAACTGCAGAGACTTTAAAGCCTTGGCTGTACGTCCCTGAGGAAAGACAGAAAATGGCCTTTAATTATAAATACAAACCTACATTCTTAAGAAAATGTCCAGTCAAGCCATGATATTGTAATAACCCAGGTGAATTCTTGACCTAGGACTCTTAAGTCTTAAAATATTTATGCTAGAGAACTATACCAGGCTCAGAACTCAGCAATACAAGCTCTGTAGTAGCAGCTCTAATCAATGCTTTCAAATTTCACTCCTATCAGCCTCCTAATCATACTGACACGTAACTGAAAAATACAGTTGTGCAATAGTTCCTAGAGTGCAGTTCTGCTCTGCTCAGGGCATGTGTGGAGGAGCTCTTTGGTTTGGTTGCCCCTGCTACTGATGATCTGTGTACAGCAATGCACCAGCTGTATTCTGAGCTCAGCACTATCCTCCCACACCAGTTCATTACTGCCCCTGACCAAACACCGTGGCCTTCACAGCCCAGACACCACAACCAGAGTACACCTAATTCACCTCAATGCAGGTTCATTTGGCAATGAACTGCTAGAAAAAATTGCCTTTTTTTTTTTTTTTTTTTAAAACTGAAGAGACATCCCTAGAAACAACTTTTGCAGTGTTCAGTTTGTTGTTTGCAAGACTTGAAGAACAGCTTAAAATACCAGCAGCAGTCTGGTATTTACATGAACTTATGAGTTGTAAGTCACCCTAGTAGACAAAATTTTTCAGGTTTTTAAAGGCCATAATATTTAATTAGAGAAGAGGACTTTTAAGGTCCTCCAAATAAAGGTTTAAATACAGTAAACTCCCCCGTATCTAAAAGACTAAATCCTTTCTTATTTCTATCATAAAAAAATTAATTTTTTATGTAGTAGTTGTACAAAGCCCAATTCCAACAGCTTGCAGGACTTAGGGGGGGGATGGGAAAACTGATCCATATACGTACGTCCGGATCAAGCTTTCTTCTTTGTCGCTCTTCGGGTTCAACATCCACACTTCCATTTATTATCTGCATACATTTGGGACACAACTTCCAACCAGGTACAAACTGCCTCCCAAACTTGGCACTGAGAAAAGCTGCATCATCCATATCGATGGCTCGTAAGTTTTTCTTGGACAGTTTTCTGTGTATGTTGAAGGGGTCACAACACGATTTCTGTAAGTCTTCGAATCTCTCGATGTAAATTTTCGCATGGTGGAAGCAGATCGTGTTGTTCTCTGAGAGGGTTATTCCAGTCCTAAGCTGAAGCAAGAGCAGGTCAGATGAAGATACATCTTGTTTAGTCTTGAAGCCAGTGTGACGGGTGTAGTAGGTCTTATGGCACTCATTGGTAGCTTGAAGCTGAACTCCTACTGAACAAGGATCCATTTTACTTTCTCAGAACAACTTATTGCACTTATTTTGAGTTCTTTAGGAGTTTCTATGAAGATCACCCTAGAGGAAGAATTAAAATCAATTAGATTTGCACTGCAAACTTTTACCCATAAGCTTGACACATAGGGTTTAAGTAATTTAACAAACATGTAAAGAAATTATAGCCTCCTAGTCTAGATAAGCTTAAAAAGACATTAAATTTATTCTGGAATTAAAACCATGCACCTCATCTTCCTTTTAGAGGCACTTTTTCCCAGCTAAAATAAGCATCTATTCAAAATGTTTAGCAGCATTACTTTCACAAAAACAATTTGGGAGCAAGGTATGAGCAGCCTGCTCTGGTCAGGGCCCCCTCTCTTAGCACAATCCCTGCTAGTCTAGACCAGTTGTTCAGATTGCCCACAGGAAAAGACTGCTGATGGCCAAAAAACTCACCTATCCTATTTCCAGGTAGTTTCTAAGGGGGGGAAAAGGCTGCTGAAGGTAGGTTGCACAGGCTGGCTGATGTCAGTCAGCAATTCCCATCCGGCACCGCTCTCCTGTGTGTTCCTCCCCTGTGTACCAGGTGCAAGTCAACACACTGAATCAACCTGAGCCTCTTCAAGAACCAATCTGGGGTGTGCACAAAGATTGGTGGTTCTAGATGTGTGCAGCTCCCTGCAGCTGAGTGCTGTGTGTGTCTGATGTACATACTGGGCAGTTACTTAAACACTAATTCAGGCACAAAACACAAAGTGAGCTGTTGCAGACTGGTCTCACACCCAGGCCAAAGTCTGTTGCTAATCCAATACCAGCCCTAACACATAAGAGCCTGAGCCCACCTTACATTCTTTTCTACTGCAACATAAAGAACAAATTTCTACCAAAAGAAAGGAATCCTGTGCTCTCAAATCCTCCAGGAACCCTAAGTACAGTGAGTTCAGCCTAACTGGGATGTTCATGTTCACCCACACACTACTCTGCAAAAGAGAAAAAACAAAAAAGCAATGTACTGTGTTTGTCTGGGAGAGAGTGTAATTCTTCACAGTATATGGTATGGGGCTGTGTTTTGGATTTGTGACCACAGCAGTGCTGATAACCTGGTGATATTTTAGCTAATGCTGAGCAGTGCTTACAGTGTCACCGCCTTTTCTGCCTCCCACCCCACTAGTGAGGGGATGGCAGGGGGCACAAGAAGTTGAGAGGGACCAGAACCAGGACAGCTGATCCCAAGTGACGTTCCAGACCACATGGCCTTGTGCTCTGCAGTGAAGTGGAGGTTGGTGGGGAGGGGTCACTGCTCTGGGAATGGTTGAGTATTGCTCAACTGGAGGTGAGCAATTGTTTCCACTTGCATTGCTTGGTTTTTCTTGGGTTTTACTTTCTGCTCTCTTTTGGTTTTCCTTTTATTTCCCTTAAAACATTTTTTTAAAAAGTTTCTTTTAATTATTGAGCTGTTTTTATGTCAACCCACAACTTTCTCACTTTTACCCTTCTGATCCTCCCCCTGCTGTGGGGGAGTGTGGTGTTTAGTTGCCAGCTGGGGTTAAACCACAACACACACACATTTGTTCTAACCACTGAACAGGGTAATATGGCCTTTTAATCAATCAAAGTATCACCCACTTGTCTAATGGACAAGAGTCTTTGGATGCTACTTTCAATAAAATGAAAGCAAATAGCGTCAGGCACAATCTAATGACATGAAATGTGTAAGTTTGGCCAATACACAGAAACATGAACACAGCAGTGCAAGAGTTTGAAAGAGAACAGTAAGTTCATAGGATTTTTAAAATTAATCTGAGAAGCCACTGGTTTTTGGAGCAGAAATCCACTTTGGATTTTAATACTTCAGTGTTTTTCAAACAGATGTGTATTTCTGAAGAAATCACACAACACATTTCCACGGGCAGTAATTTAAAGGTCTTGCATAGGACATGGTATTGTCTACTGACTTAGGTGATGCAAATATAAATGATATGCTGGGTTCTACTCAGGCTAGTAAACTTGTCTTGAAGTGTAATTTTATATCTAATTTGAGACAGAACTGAGTATAACCAAGCAATTATTTTTAAATAAAAGTTTTCTCAGCCCATTGTTAAGAATGCTCCAGCTTTCACATTTAAATTAAAGCAGTGATAATAGAGGCACAAGGAGTTCCAAGTGTAGAGGCACATTGTTATAAACCTGTGAGTCTGCAGAAAAGGGAGTGTTTCATTCTGAAAACAATGAAAACTTGGTTCTGTTTTTTTTGCAAGTGATCTGAAAATACAAAGACTTAAGTATTCTAATATCTAACACTAATTTCTCAGGTCAAAATCCTTTATTTTCAGAGCTAGAACTAATCCAGTCCTAAATTACCAGGCTATCTGAGCATTTCTTCACTCCAATTTCTGTATGCTGAGCTAACTCCTGAAGTTTCGAGCTTTTCAGATCTGCACTGACTAATACAAATAAGAAGAGTAGACATCAATCAAATTAGAAAAATTCTTATTTTCAGTGTCTGCTGAGCACTGATTAAGTTTTACTACATAAAAGTTCCAGTGCCCTTGCCTATTTATACACTTTTACTGCAGCACTGACTTTGTATGATATTTTTTTTTAGATCTTTTTTAAAAGGCCAGCTATCAGACTCACAGGGTATGCACCAAACCTACCTCAGTGCCAACATGTACTTTTGACTGATTCCCGCCGTGCGAGGCGGGGATTGCCTGTGTGGCTGAAACACACGAGGCCAACACAGAAGTGATGACCCGAATTTCAAAATTCCCGGATGTATTATAAGTCAGAACTTCTGGAAGACGTCCTTATTAAGAAACCCAACTAGTCTCCTAAGGAAAAATCCCCCCCAAAAACAGCTATTGCAATGCTACCCTGGGCAGGTGTCTGCTGTGACAGCTGACTGCACTGCGTGACAAGCCCTGTCCTGAACTGAGGGAGGGCACACCGGGGCACACCGGTTTGCCCGAATGACACCGTGCTGGGGGATGTAAAGTTAGGCCTCTCATCCACTTCACCCGCAGAAATTCCTGGTGGAAGCCTCACCGCATTTCCCCGCCCTTGGGAGGGGCACGCAGCTGCTGTTCCTCGGGGGAAACAGGAAGGAGCTTAAAGCAAAACAAACAAACAAAACAAATAAACAAACAAAAACCCCCGACCCACACTGCTAAGACGAAGGTTTGCGTTTGCACCTGTGGAGCGGATAATCGGCGCTCACGGCACCGACCGCGGCCGCCTGGGGCAGAGGGCTCGGGGCGGCCGGCCGGGGATACAGCACGGGCCTCCCGGGTTTCCTGCTGCCGGCGGAAACGTGGGATGGAGGGAAAAGGGGGGTTACACGGCGGTACGAGCAGCCCCAGGGAAAGGCGGGGCCCGACGCCCCGCGGGGCCTCGCACGGCACGCCCCGGCCTCGGCCCTCCCGCTGCCCCCCCGGGCGGCCCCGGTACCTGTCCGTGGGTCGGTCCCGCCGTCCCGCTCCCCGTCCCCGGGCTCCGTGCCCGCTGGCGGCGGCGGCGACCATGAACCGCCCTCCCTCGGGCATGGCGGCGCTTCCGGGCGGGCGGCGGCGCGGCAGCGGCCCCTGGCGCGGGCGGAGGAGAGGCGGCAGTGAGGGCGGTGGGGTGGGGATGGTGCCTGCCCTCCTCGGGAATGAGCTCTGCCTTCCTCGGGAGCGACCTCTGCCTTCCCCGGGAGCGACCTCTGCCTTCCCCGGGAGCGACCTCTGCCTTCCCCGGGAGTGACCTCTGCCTTCCCCGGGAGTGACCCGTGCCCTCCCCGGGAATGATCTCTGCCTTCCCCCGCAGTGACCTGTGCCTTCCCCGGGAATGACCTGTGCCTTCCCCAGCAGTGATCTCCATGCCTTCCTCGGGAACGACCGGTGCCCTCCCCGGGAATGACCTCTGCCATCCCCGGGAGTGACCTCTGCCTTCCCCGGGAATGACCTGTGCCCTCTCCAGCAGTGATCTCCGTGCCTTCCCCGGAAATGACCGGTGTCCTTCCTGTGGGAAAAATTCCTCTTTTAAATTTAGAAAGACGGCATAAACTCACGAAACGAAAAAATTTATTCAGCGTGCTGGGTCTAGTCTCACACCGAGTTTTTCGGGGAGAAAGACCCTTTGGATTTAAATACCACACATTTTATAGTTCCACCCTTATTCAGATAAGTTTAATATATTCATTTTTGCCTAAAAAGGTTTCTTTTCTCTGAAAAGGGTCATTCCCTTTCTTCTGATTGGCTGCAAGGTGTCCTCTGTCAAAAACAATGGATCTTCCTTTGTTCTTAGCCCAAAGAGAGAGAAGAAACCTCTGTGTACAAAACTTCCACATGGCCTTGAAAGATTTTAATTTTTAAGAACTTTTATATTTCTCTTATCCGGACGAAAAAGACCCTGACACCCAGTTCCATTTGGAACTTGGATATCTTGCAACTTCACGATGCACCTATGTATATAAAAATTGTATTTTATCTCTCATATCCCCAGGTCCCACAGACACGCTCCCCCCTCCCGGCCCCAAAATCAGCACTGCTGAAGCTGTTATTTGTTTTAAATAAAACAAAATCCTCGCAAATCTGCTGTTTCATTTAATGGGAAAAACCCAACACAGTCTTTTGGTCACTAGAATGTCACTCAAAAGTCTGTTACTCTTTCTGTTTGTTTGTTTGAGAGTTTTTTTTTTTTTTTTTTTTTTTAGTTCTATAATGTGTTGAGCAGGTGCCTGGATGTGGCACCAGGTGATGTGGTTTAGGGGTTACAGTGGTGGTGGTGGTGCTGGGCTGATGGTTGGGCTGGATGGTCTTGAAGGTGTTTTCCAACCTTGATGATCCCATGAATGTCTTCAGAACAATGGACTTCTCAAGCAGTAGTTGAAGAATTGGTGGCATCATTGTCTTAAAGGCCTGGGGAGGTGAGAAATGATTTTATACTTGCTTCAGGAGATACCCAGAAGGCTAAAGCACAGGAATATAAAGCTTTAGTGGCAATGTGACAGTAACAGTAAGTAGGCTGTGCCATTTTCTGTTTCTCCATCTGACCATTAAAGAAAACCATTATAAATTCCATGTTTATTGCTTAGGTCATACATTGGCTCAGTGATGACAAAGAGACTGTGAGGAGCTATCATTCAAGAGGGTTTCAATAAGGCTGCTTCTTCTGACTGGTGTTGCTTAGGATGAAATGTGTGGAGTTAATGAAGGGGAATAATTCATGAGAGGAGATACTCGAGATACAGGTGGTGACATCAATTTGTTCTAAATAAATATAGGAAGAGCAGTGAGGTGTGTGTATTCACTTTTTCAGAGTTAGTGTCAATCTGTGAGGCTGATTGTATAGGGCTAGGTTCAGGGTTGAGGTTATCTGGGAATTAACTTGTAACAAGTCTACCATCCATGGATTTAGACAGGTTTTGGTTGATCAGTTAACTTTTATCTATGCAAATGGAATGGTGCCTAATGAGGGAGAACTTTAGGGTTTAGAGCAAAAGGATTTTAGATATGGCAGATGAAAGGTAACAGGATCATGAGCTGTACTAGATGTGGTAAAAATATTCTCATATATTCTGGTAATACTGGACAGCAATTTAAATTTATTTCTCTGCCAATGCAGGTTGACTCCATATGCCATTTTCATTCATAAGGGCATCTGGAATCTGTCAAAGCGTGTGCTACAGAGGAATATGTATGTCAAGGTAATTTTTAATGGATTTTGAAGAGTAGCTGAAGTCATACTCTCTGTACCCTAGTTTGTTGTGCTCACTAAGTTTCAGTGCTTAGTGTGTGCCTCAGTTCACTCGTGTGTAAAAACTGTATAAAGCAGTAGTGACATACATCATCACTTCAAAATTGCTGTGTCTTTCTGTTGCCCTGATTTCCAGAGTTTGAAGCAGTGACAGATTTGTTTCTGACCTGCAAAAAACATTGAGATAGACTCAGAAGAAAGATGGTATTGGAACTGCATTCAATACATCATAAATTCCAGGGAGCTCAGCTCAAATTTCCAAGGTAATCAAGCAAAAATTTTTACAGGAGAGGACTACATGAGAAAGCACATATAAGTATTTTGATAGTTTTTTTCTGCCAGAAGCTTGGGAGTTTAAGTTTTTCATAACTTTGCCTGTCATGTGAACACCATAGTTTTAAGACCTTACACCTTATCCATAGAAAACTTCCAGAAATTCAGTTTATCTACATAATATCCAGGTAGACTGGTCTAGAAACCAGCAAAATGCTGGGGAGGGTCAGCGACTTGATTTAATTTCTTCAATCAAAGCAAGTTTGAGGATGCTGTTAAATTGGTTTTTTTTTTATTAAAGTGAAGCAGATTAAGATGCTCCACTACTACAGAATCACTATCTCATGAAGTGTCTCTTCTAAACTTAAGTGTTAAATGGAAATAAAATGTGCATTTTTGGCATATTTGACAAGGAAACCAGCATCTAATGTAGTTTATATTCTAGAAATCCTATTTCTTTTCTTTAAAGTTTTTAGGCAAACGTCTCTCTGTGTCTAGCTCCTAACAAACATGCTGGAACACTAAATAGGCAGAGATGTTGTCTGCTTTGAATTTTTTTACTATTTTCTTTTAAAATATTTTCGTGTACTCTTTCAAAAACATAAAGTCAGAGATATAGAGAATGATTGTAGCAGGGAAAGGAGGCAGAAAAAGTTTGACAGTTTTGGTATGGACCATTTCACCTAAATGGAAAAAAAGAAAACCTTCCATGGAATATCCCAGTAAATTCAGTGTGAAGGGGCAAAGTTCTGTATAAGGAGCAGTTCAGGCATAAGAAATAGGGAGACTCAAGGCAGAAAGGGGACTGTATCACTAGAAAGGATTATTTTGAGTTACTAGGCTCTTTTTAATAAGAAATAAAGATTTGATGAGAGAAATAGGTGACAATTTTGGTTGAAATGCTAAGATGTGTTTGGAAGCTACCACTCTTATAGCTTGTATATTCCCTTATGCTGTGGGAATCACCAACTCAGAGGACTTCTTTCTTTTGTGACTGAACATACACTCTGAGAGCAAATATTAACCTGTTTAAATATTGCTTGTGGAACAAAAACATAAACTTGTAGAAGAGTGAAAGAAAAGGACCTCAGAGAATTTATTTTATTACCATTAAATTTACGTTGTCCAACTGGTCTTTTCTTTTGTGTTGCCATTTGTTGTCTTGTCTTTACCCCTCACAAAGACCTACAGGCTCATTTGAATGACACCTAAATCAATACATTTTATTACAGATATGGGTAAGTGCTGATTTCATGCTTTTGCCCACACAAACTCAAACACAAGCAAAAAGACATTCACTAACACACAATGTTGTAAATAAGTACCCTACATGAGCTTTTCCTTGTAGAAAATGTGATGCCAAGTGCTGCATTTTATCTGAAAGTCAGGAACTAATGTCTTGGTGCAAACAGAGCTGTTTATTTCACACCAAATCTTTAAGTTGTCAAAAGTCTAGATATCATCATAAAACTAATGGAAAAAAAATCTTAAAAAGTACCTTGGGATATTTTGTAGCATGCTGATAAGTTTGGGGTTTTTTTGTAAGATGTGGGTATAAGAGTATGAAAATACTGTCTTAAATTACTTTCTGGCTGGGTTGTTGTTTGTTTTTATTCTAATTTGGCAATGTTATAAAGACTTGATTGTTTTAAAAATTTGCATTTAAACTTTGACACACACTGTTGAATATTTGGATTCATATCATGCTGCAGTTTTTGAGTAATAGAAATAATAGAAATTCTGTAGGTAGGAAAAAAAATAAAATCCTCTTCAGTAATTTGGTTCTTGCTGTGTCATGATGAGAATCATCTACTTTACTGGCATCTGACTTTGGAATGCCTCTTTGGGAATCTTCTGCCCTTTCCCGGCTGATTCCTTGGTAGTCTTTATAAATTTATTGCCTGGAACATTCTGTCTGTCTGCTCAGTGAGATCTTCCCTTTTTTTCTGTGTTGAGGAGGATTTTGGCTGCTGCTTCCAGCCTGCCCCTCTTGTTTGAGCAGCTTCACAGATGATGTGGCATCACCCTGTTGCTGCACTGTGCTCTTTGCTTTGGGCCTGAAGAGAACGTGCTCAGAAACATGGATGTCTGCTGCCCTTTGGAACTGGTGCAGGCACTCTCTGCCAGGTTTGTATCTCATTAGGAAGTCCCAGCAGACAGCATTTTATTCTAACATTTCTGTCTCAGATGGTTTGGGAGTATTCTTTACCCATCTGTAAAGGTGTTGAATTTATTTCTGTTTCAAAAAGCAGGGACATTAGTTTCTGCTGTTCCTAAAAGCAATCTCATTCAGCCTCTTTCTATTCTTACAGAGCAGCTAATACTTGCACAGACCTAAGACAGCTAATGCCTACTCACTGGTAACAGGTTAGGGTGTTCAAGGAATTTAGGATTTGCCCTTTCTGAAGAAAAATGTCCTCTCCGTGCCTGGCTTGAGGGAAAATGAAGGTTGTTAATCTGACAGTTGGTGAATCAAATAGGGGAAACTGCTGTTTGCTGGTGTATGCTGAATGATTTGT